GGAACTCCCAGGAATAAAACTGCCAGAACCAATGGGGCGGTTGAAATAGAATGACTTTCATAAAGCAGGTGTTGTAGTAATAACCTTCTCCTACCGGTGGCAGCATTTCCCCAGATGAATAGATCCCATGGGCATGACCTCAGCCATCTTGAATCATAGCCACCATGACTGCCCAAGAACTATTTTAGTTGGTTTATCCTGTATAGTTTCTGGGCAAATTACAAGTACATAAAACTATTAAGAGTGGTGATTTAAATTTTATAACTCGATCATGGCTCCAGGAATGTCCCTGGCTCTTTGGTGCCAGCTTAAGGTAAACCAGATCCTTTCCAGCTTGGATAAAATGTATTTCTTTCTAAGAATAAATGTGCAACCCTGTTTCAGACCCAAATTCCAGGGATCCAACCAATCTTGGTACAACCCATGAACACTCTTGAGCTTATCAATAAGTCCCCCTATTAGCTACACTCTGCAATCCTAGAATTGTCTGCCTCTCCTTAGTAATGTAGCACCTCAGGGCCTGCTCTCACACACTAGGACTGAGTCATTCCAGGTGCCCATACAGTGCCCTCCAACCTCTTGGGCTTCCCCTCTCTGCTCACACATCCAGAGCCCAGGTCCCTCAGACATTCGAGATCAGGAGGATAATGGCAAGAAAGACTCCACTGAACAAGCATCACAGTGACAACAGGGTTCCCTGAATCTTGGCCAAGGTCTGAGTGCCTGAACTATAAGCACTGGAAAGGTGACAGTTCAGTGCATATCCAGTGTGGACACATGGACAGAGCTTGCACTGAGGAGACCAAGACAACCTAGAGACTGGAACCCACAACCAGGGCCAGTGGAGGGGCTCTTAGTGTGAGATAGGAGTGTTGGAAGGAGCAGAGAAGCCAGGATTTTAAAGCTCTGGCCTTTTCCTGACTATCTACATCTGTCAATCTCCAAAAGAAAAATAGTACAGTAAGAGACCAGCTTGCAATGAGAATTGCAGAGGTGGCTAGTTCTAGAGTGTGTGTGCTGGAATTGATTCATGCTACAATACTAGGAAAAAGGGTGTTAGGCTTATGGGTTTCTGCTACCTGCCCTAAGTAGCCTATGTAACATATAAAGGATAGAAAAGGCTGTGGTCATCCATTCTGCATTTCTGTGCTACCTTCTGCCTGTCCTGAACTGTTTTTTTCTTCAGTGATAACTGTCTGCCATACCACCGGGCTTTGGAGCCAGCCAACTATGGAATGAAACCTACAAATCATAAGCCAAATAAACCCTTCCTTGCATCACTTTGGGCATTAGGTATTTTTGTCTCATCCATGAGAAAAGTAACTAATCAGTAACTAGAAGTAAATAATTTGGTGCCAGAGAAGTGGAGTCATTGCTGTGACTATACCACGTAGTTCAGGTACCTTTGGGACTGGTTTGTGGGAAGGCCTTGGAGAGGACTGGAAATGCTGACCAGAAAAGCAGCTCCTGAAAATTTTACTCTATAGTTAATGGGAGATTCTGGTCAGAGCTCAGCAAATAAGAATGCTGATACAAATTCTGAAAGGAAAGACTAGGCTTGGAGGTTTCTTCAGAGAAGGACTGCTTGTCCTGTTGGACTCAAGATAGTGGGTGCTATGCCTTAGCAGAAGTTTGTCTGCATTTTGCTTAGGTCCAGAGTGTTCTCTTGAGACTGAGATTAGGGGTGGCAGGCTGATCAATCTAGCAGAAGGAATTTTAAGGCAGTCTAATGTTGAGCCAGAGGAATGATCACTGTTGGCAGCCTTTCACTACATTTATGTTAAGAATCAAGACCAAAGACCCGGTACAATGATTTCAAACACTTTCAGTTTGATCAGAAAGGAAGCTGCAGTAAAGTTTCAGCCTACAAAGCTGGAAGGGAGGAGAAATTTGTTGCTGAGGAGACCAGCAAGTAAAAGCCAAGTGTTGTAAAAGAAGACAACATAAAACATGGCCTGAGGACAGCTCAAGAGCCAACAGGACTCCAGTGCTTGCAGCCTCAGAGTTGTGCATTGAGAAGACAGATGCAAAGGACTGTGTTCTAGAATGGCAGTGGCCTAGTGAAGTTTTTCCTCAAGATTTGACTTATACAGATTACCTTCTACATCTAAGAGAGAAAGAAGCCCAGATACTGCTCCACCTGGGGGCAGACCTGGGCATGGTCCATGTGGACCTAGTCTAAGGTGTATGCAGCTTCCACACAGACTGCACAAAAAGACCTGCAAAGACAGGCTTTTTGACCCTGAGGGGCAGTGTGTGACGCTGTGAATGTGAAGCCAAAGGTGCAGTGGAGGGTACGAACATTGGAAGAATCCAGCAATGTGGATAATCTGAGAAAATATGACAGGAAGGAGCAGAGCCAACCACAGATAGAAGCCGTGGGAGCTACTGCCATGGGAAGTGCCACAGAGATGGAGCCACCCAAGCCCCTTGGAGTTCGTAACTTGCCACAGATTTCCAGGGATGCTGGAAGTGAAGCTATGGGAGATAGTGTTTGCCCTGCTGGATTTTGGTCTTGCCTTGTTCCCATGCTTTGCTTCTACCACTGTTTATAACTTTTGGAAGGAAATTACTATATTGTACTATTGAATGTTGGAAGTGTTTAACTTTCTTTTTGTTTGTACAGATGCTTGGGGCCGAGAGTTTGCTTTAAAGGTGAGAAGACTTTGGACTTGGACTTTTCAGCAATGTTTAGAGTATTATGACTTTGGAAACTCTTGGACATGGACTAAATGTCTTTTGTATAGAGGAATATGCATAAATCTTTGGGGGGGAATGTTACACTTTGTGTTTAGATTTCTCCCCAAATCCCAGGCAGTCATAGGTGGGGCTTTTCAGAGGCAGCTAGATGTAAAGTGTGTGATGTGCGAGTCAATTCATGGTGCAATGCTAGGACCAAGGGCACTAGCATTAAGGACGTGAGTGCTACCCAGCCTAAGTAGCCTGGATAAGACATAAGGAATACAAACAGCTGTGGCTGGCTCTTGCTTGTCTTCATACCTTCTGCTTCCCTGAACTGTTGCTCCTCTTCAGTGTCTGTCTGTTACACCACTCTGCCTCGCAGGCAGGTAATTATGGACTAAAACCTCTACAAACTGTAAGCCAAATAAACTTTTTCTCCTTAAACTTTAGGTGTCAGGTATTTTGTGTCAGAAACAAGAAAGGTAACTAAGACCAATCTCTAGAAATATTACCTAACTGTAGCTTTCCCCTACTAAAAGTTTTTGTGTCTTTCACAAAGACAACTTATTCTGACCTTTGTCCAACACTCTCAATAGCATAGAGGGGTGAATTTTTAGTTCTTCTGGGCGAAAGCGCTGGGACTGACTCTCCAAACTCCCATTCCATCCCATCACTCACGGAAGCCTCCCTCTTGTCAGTGACTGTTTCATGGATGGACGGTCCTAAGCCAGTGGGGTCAGTGAGACTCACAGAGAGCCACCATGAGGGCTCTGGAGAAGATCCTTCCTCAGGCCTGGCAGCCATGGAAAGACAGCTCTTCCTTCTCCTGTGAGTTGACAACGAGGAAGCCTGGCCTTGCCATGCCACTGATATTCAGGCTACAGTAATAAAGGAGAAAGCCAAAGCTGTGAAGAGACAGAGCGAAGCAGTACAAAGAACCTGCATCCCTGTTGCCTTCATTCAGTCACGGATCCTGCCCTCACTCTTTGTTGTTCAAGTCGATGTGCGTTAACTTTTCTGTGACTTAGTGTTCAGTGTCTTCTACCCAGTTCAAAACTTGGTGCCAGGGATGAAAAGGCTGTGAGTGACAGGCTGAAGAGTGCTGCACGGTGACCCCAGGATGCATGCCTACGTGCTAATCCTTACAACCTAGAGCATGAAATCATTTGTGAAAAGGACTCTGTTTAGATATAATTAAGTCAATCTTTAATATTTTTGAGTTCAGCCAAATGTTGAAGACATAAGATAAAGACAATTTAATTTTTCAAATATCATGTTTATTATTATTACATGATTATTCATCAAGATTAAAGTTTTTTCAACAGACATTTAAGGTGATTTTTTTGTGTGTGTTTAGTTCCATAACATTTTTTGACAATGTTACTAATTTAATTCTCTTGTAAGTCAGTTAATCCCCCAAAACAAAAACTTGATCTGAGAATGGAAATACCTGTTTACTTTGTGTTGGTGCTAAGCTGCAGGCAAGGAATGGGGACTACAGGGATAGTTACTTCCCCTGTAGACCTCTCAGTGGCTTCTCAGACCTACATGCACCCAAATCACCTGGGTCTTCATTGCAAATACCTATTTCTGAACCCTAAACAAGGTCTAAAGAATCAGATTTTCTAACACTGGAGCACAACGATGTATATTTTCATTTAAGTGAAGGATATGGTATTTCTTAGCACTAGTGCATGATGACACCGCAGTGTGACTCTCATTTTGTTCTCTGCTTCATGTTCCTTCTTTCATAGACAGATATGATACTATGATAAAAACACAAAATAAGCCATAAAAAATCAAGGCAGTCACTTCATCATCTTCCTATCTTCATCCTTTTCATAGTGCTTGGTAAGTAGTAGGCACTCCATAAATACTGGAGAATTAAACAATAGTGACTAGATACATGAAGATCATTTCAGGTGGATTGAAATCACATATAGCTGGACAAATGTAGAGAGAAAAACTTTTAATCTATTGTTGAATATGCTCTTGAGCTCCAGGCTCCTGTACTGCATCCTTCACTAATGGGTTTGTACAGATGAGACTACTTCCTACTGGAGAATCACAAGGAAGAGACTGAGATTTTCAGTCCAGAGTATTTTCCAGAGGTAGTCACAGCTTGAGACCCACACCTTCCCCTCCTCAACTATTCCAGGACCAGGAATATTTGTATCTTGCCTGTCCTTAGGACAGTGTTGTAGGTCTTCAAATCTGCAAAGGCCACCTCAGATTTGTGAGGTCCCCAGCAGGGCAGAAGAGGCACTCATCACCAATGATGCCAGCTGAGGTCAGTGTCCTTTGCAGCCAGAACCCCCAGGATGACTGACACCACCGCAATCCTTTCTCTCTCCCCATGTTGTGCTTTCCATCTTGTGCCCCTGGAACTTCCCCAGCTCAGACACTGTCTGCTGGCTTTGGAAGGTACCGGCTCAGGATGAAATCTGTCACAGGGGTGGGCAACTTTGCCAAGGGAAGGTAAAGGAGCTTGGCATCCAGGCCAGGGCTGTAGCGGATACGGGGAGTCCGGGAAACAATGGCATGCTCCATACTATTGATGACGTTAGTGATTCTCGGTTCTGCCAGCTGCACCATGTTCTTCAACTTGTATGTATCTATTGGGCAGGAGAAATGAAAGGCTCTGCTATTTGTTAATAAGGACTTTTTTTTCCAAATCTCATCTACCTTAACATTTCAGAACACAATCCACTTGTCCCTCACATAAACCTCCATGCATAGGATCATCATAAATCATCTTATTTCTCCTCCTGAATTCTACAGCTGTGCACTGAATTCCTCTCATTGCATTTGACTAAAAAAGACCAGGGCTATGCCCAGTTCTCCTGAAGATACCACTTACTTGTGATATGACCTTGAGTCCAAACCTTCATTGTCTGTGAAATGAGGATAACAATACCAAGCCTGGAGACAAACAAACATTAAAAGCAGAATAGAAGGCCAGGTGTTGTGTCACAGCCTATAGTCTTGGTGCTTGGGAGGCCGAGGCATGAGAACCCTTGAGAGTTTAAGGCCAGCCTGAACAACAGAGGGAAACCCTCTGTAAAATAAATGGCACAGTAGATGATTAGGTAGGGCAGGGAGAGACAGAGAAAATGTATCTACATGCACAAAAAATAGGAAGTAAGGAAGTAAAAATACTTTCTAGCTGGTGGGATTCCCAGCTGCTAGAGGCTTTTTATTTTGTTTGGTTTCTTCTTCTTCTTCTTCTTCTTCTTCTTATTATTATTATTATTATTATTATTATTATTATTATCATTTCTATTTCTCACATTTTTCTGCAAATGCATGAAGAAATACAAAATTTATTTCAAAACAATAGTTATCCTGCCCCTACCATGTTCATAAAGCCATTGTAGATGTAGGTGACCAAGATAGAGAGAGGCCACTTGAAGAATTCTGTCACAGGGAGTTCTGTTCATGAGGTGCCCACAGGAATGAGGAAGGGACAGGCCCCATGATGCCCATCCACATCCCTCCTTGAGATACTGGGACAGAGGCAGATTCAGGGGAAGAAGGCTCAGACTTCAGTGAGAGCCCCAGGTAATGAGAGCCTCAAAGAAATGACAGCATGAAAAAGAAAGAAATGAGAGCACTCAGGAAGAGAGAGAGAGAGAGAGAGAGAGAG